AACGTATTTTTTAATGGGAAAGATGTAACTGTGAGAACCCAAAATACAGTTATTGCTTTGAAAAACATGGCTAAGGTCCCCAAAAATTTTGGTAGGGAGATTTTTTTTTGTGGTTAGTCTCTCCACAATATCGAAATTTGAGAGGCAGCGTTGTATGGGGATTACACTATAAGTGGATCAATAATTTTTGTTAGAAAAATTTTCTAACCATTTCGAACCCAAAATACCAAATTACAGCTTGTTATGTTGAAAAATGTGTCCCACCTCACCAAAATTCCGAATATTGTAGGCTATCCTAAGAAATCATCCATTTTTAATACCAAATGTTCTAGAAGTACTAGAAATATATATGTGCAAAATTTCAAGCTCATGGGTATGGCTAAATCGATATTCTGATCAAAAATATATATACTCGTCCGCCTCTACCAATGTTGCAAACGGGGAAAGTATGTATGGCAAATTGCTGCCAGGAGAAAAATAATTATTTGACTATAGACTCTCTGGCTTCAGACCTGGCAAATCCACCATAGACCAGATTTTTACACTGCAAAGACCTACGAAAAACACATCGACACATTCCACCTATTCGCCGACTATAAAGCCGCATTCGAAAGCCCTAACCGCATAAAAGTTTTTAAAGTCATGTCTGCATTCGGCATTCATGCAAAATTAATACGGCTATGCAGAATAAATTTAACTGGCACAAGGCCAGCAGTTTAAGTCGGAAAGGACCTCTCGGAGCCCTTCAATACAGAACGAGCATTCAGACAAGGTTACAGTTTGTCATGTGACCTTTTTAACATCCTACTAGAAAATGTCATACGAGATGCAAAGATGAACAGAAATGACACTCTGTACACCAAGATTTGAACAAATTTAGGAGTCTGCCAATGTGGTTCTGTCAGTAAAGCTGATGGTATGAAGGCGCAAGACGTCCATTAGACTCGGACAGACTGTGGATTTTGAAAACTACAGCTTTGAGGTAGTCAACGATTTTATATACCTCGGTACAGCCTCTCGCCTAACCAAACTCACACTGTATGAAACACTGATGCTACTCGTGTTCTTGTATGGATCTGAAGCATGGGTACTTGCGCAAACAGAGGAGTTGGAGAAAAATTCTCCAAAAGATATATGGGCTATCTGCGCCGACGGTGAATATCGACGTCGAATGAAACACGATCTATACTATCTACGGAAACACGATCTATATACACGGACATCGACATAGTCAGGCGTATCGAGCTGCAGCGACTACGGTGACTAGGCCATGTTGTGTGAATGGATGAGGATGCCCCAACTCAAAAGCCTACTGATGGTTCACGCAGAAGGGGAAGGCCTAAATTAAACTGGACAATTTTTCTAACCCCAAATTTTCTAATTCCCAACGAGAACTCAAAATATTAAATTACGGCTATTTTGGTCGAAAAACTCCCAAAAAATGATCGATATATGGACAAAACGTGGATCATTTTCAATACCAAACTTTCTAGGTATATTATCAATGAATGTGCAAAATGTTCAAGAGGCATGCATAGTTCAATCCGGAATCCGGAATGTTAAGATACAGCCACCTCGGGAGAAAACATCACTTCCCCTTTCATATGGGGCCTAAGCCAAAAGGTGTAACATTCAAGAACATGGAATCCCAAATTAAAGCCACTCCGGTAGGAAAATGCTTCTCAGTCCATAAAAGTATGCAGATCGGACGGAATCTTGATATAGGGTCAAAAATTCTGAATTTCAAATTATTGTCACTTATAGGGGGATAATGCGGCTGAAACTTTCAATACACCGAAAATAGGGCGGCTTTTTATTGCGAAGACTAAGTCCAAATCTTGACCTAAATTAAAAATGTTCTGCTTATATCTAAGTCAACCACCAAAATCCCGCAATGCGAAATTACAGTTATTTCGGCAAGAAAATTAATGAGAAGGGTGTAACTGTGAGAACCCAAAATACAGTTATTGCTTTGAAAAATATAGCTAAGGTCCCCAAAAATGTTGGTAGGGAGATTTTTTTTGTGGTTAGTCTCTCCACAATATCGAAATTTGAGAGGCAGCGTTGTATGGGGATTACACTATAAGTGGATCAATAATTTTTGTTAGAAAAATTTTCTAGTTCAATCAATCTCCAACGAATACTTCAAGGTGTTGCAAACGGAAAGACAAATTTAAGATATACTCCACCTTGTAGTGTAGGGTATTATAATGAGTTTGCGAAATTGATAACAAACCGTTAAAAACTAGTTATCACTTTAATTATCTCAAAATTATCTAATTTCAAAAGGTGTAGATTTGACTTCTGTGACTACTACGGAAACAAATACATAATTTATCATTGTTATGCATAAACTTCAATAAATAATCAACTTGTTAAATATTATAAAACTGAATTTATATGACATAAACAATTTATTAAGATAATGAAGAGAAATAAGAGATAATTTATTTTACTATTGCGTAGGTCCAAATTTTGAATAAGACAGAATTCAGTAGTACAACAATTTAAATAGTTATCGGTTAACTTATTTTATACTTACTGACTTTATACTGATTTTCGACTCATTATATGGCAGGGTTCGGCTGTCTTGGGTATTGATAAAATTTTAGAAAATGTTTCCTACTATATATTTAAAATAAATTTTGAGGAGACATTATGACGTCTTACTCGTCCAACTCATCATCTGGTACTTTTCCCATATGAAATTCTGATAATAATTTATTATCGCAAACCTTCATCAAATATCTTTAAAAAATAAATAAAATGAACTCACAACCCACCTCATTTCTCGCAAAGGTACTTTACGGAATATAAATTAAATATTAAATAATGTCTAGATTTACAACAAGTTGACTTAACAAATACACCTATTTCGAGTGCATTATATTGTAAATTGTTGACGCTGTTCATTTGTATTCTTATTTATAAGAAACCAGTAAGGAAAGTAGTAAAGTCGGACTGGGCCGACTATATAATACCCTTCACCACTTTTGGAATATACTTTCGAAGGAACATTGACATGAAATTGAACGAACTTGAAGATGTTATCTATATGCCTTTCTGGAACCTATGTTAAATTTCAATTCATTTGGGCAAGTTTAGAGTCGTTTGTGTACAGTAGGTCAAATTTATCTAAATCGATTTAGAGCGCCTGTTTGAAATATATATCAGTTCAGTATGCTATGACAAATTTCGTGCAAATCGTGCAATTTACATTACATCGGACGGAAATGTATATGAGAGCTAAATCTGAACCGATTTTCTCCAATTTCAATAGGGTTTCCCAATTGGCTCCATGACCTACATGACAGACCTTTTCATAAAAATGTGTATAACCAAATCGCAAAATGGCTAACCTAACCTATGTCCTCGATATCCTCATGAATCTACGCTGGGATGTTGGCGTATATGGGAAAGTTCGCATGGTATTAAATCACAAGATTTCCGTCGCCAATTGGGATTACCTCTTCGAGAGATTACACGGTTCGAAAACTTTTCCAGTGAAAAACCAATGATTTCATTGCTTGCATTGGACCAAGCACGGGCTTGATGAAATAAAAGTTGTCCGGATTACTGCTATTGATCCGACCTCATTTAAAAAGGTTACCTTAAGAATCAAAAATGCGAGAAGGCATGTTGAGGCTTCTCAACAACAGCTCTAGGGATTTCCAAGCCTCTGATGACGTAGCCGCCCACCGAGCTGGAAATTGCTTCTATTCCGTATAACTTCTATTCCGTATAAACTTCTGTGTTTTCCGAGCATCAGATGTATAATTCTTCTTTTGACGTATCCACCCACCGAGGTGCAAATGGGCCTCATCAGTAATCGATTGAATTCCAGATAATTTTCAGTCATTCACACACCACAATGAGCAAAGACATAACTTTAATGATGATCGAACGACGCTGAGGATAGAGATGATTCTTAATAATAACATCTGGGGTTTCCGAACTTCAAAATGCTTCAACGTTCAAAATGACTGTTGTGTCAGCCAATAGGAAATACACGAAGTTGTTTCTAATCAACTAAATTTAATAACTCTTAAAAATGGCGCCCAATTGCAATTAACGAAAAGGAACATTTTGACGAGCAGCATGAATAAAGTGATTATAAATTGATATTCCTGGTTTTTGGATGCTGATAGGTTTGGCTAGGTCCATGTTTTGACATAGCCCCCATATAAAGGTCCCACTCCCTTATTGGGTATTTTTAACGTTTTAGTCGTCTTTTCCAACCGAATGAACTATAAATTGAAATTCTGGGTTCTTGTATGGAGAAAAACATATTTGCAGAGCATGCTCAATATAGTTTTATATTTTGACCCGACTCTCATATAAAGGCCGAGTTTCGTTATCGGTATTTTGAAGGTTTTCGACACACTTTTAAACCGAAATGGTTATAGTTTTTCATTTAGAGATTTTTAAAGGTGATAAATATCTTTGCAGAAAATGTCCAGTATAGACGCAATTTCCCACCAATGTGAATGTAATGTGGAATTTTGGGGTCTTGGAGGGTGAGAAACATATTTGCAGACAATTTTCGATATAAGTCGATATTTAGACGAAGCCCCCATATACAGAACCTGACATAGTTCTATATAAAGGTCCCAACTTAATTACCGTATTTTAGAAGGTTTTACCTGATTTCTTCCTATATTGATTCTCAGGCTATATAAAAGCCCATTCATGCCCATTTAACTGCAATTTCTCTGAAAAAATAATCCCCGACGCAAAAAACATCCATACAATTCAAAATCTATAAGTGTTACAAACAATGTATTAAACTTAAACAATCTCTATCTAACACACTCAAGATCCCTCTCCCCATCACTTTTATTGAGTGTGAAAAATACGATTATACCCTCCTCCTCCACCACCGAACCGTTTAAATATTTACTTTACTTTTATTTAACCGCATTAAAACTGTCTGTCTAATTTAATTGTGCATTTTTATTTACGTTCTGTCTTTTATTTCTTTTCTTCTTTTATCTATACAGGGAAGATGAATACAGCAAACTAGCGCCGACAAAATTCAATTATCAAATCGTACCGGCAACAAATGGCAGCAATCACAACAACAACAATAGCATCGAGACAACGGATATATATCGGCAAAAGCAGTGTGACAATGAACACGACCATAAAACAATTAAACGGGGTATTTACCACCAGGTGGGTAGTAGTGGTGTGCAAATTGGACAACATTTAACACTTGTTTCATATAAATAGATAAACATTTGGCTTTTTTATTGTAAAACCCAATCGGGAACTACAACAACAACATCATAACAAAACAAAAAGAAATTAGATTTCAAAATAATAACAATGGTCATGGGCATTGCCAAAAAATTAGCTACCACCCAAAATACGATTTCAAAGTCTTAAATTTTGGCAATCTGAAGGTGAAATAGTGTAACAGAATTGATAAAATGTGGTGTGTTAAAAAATGAGAATAAGTGCAAGTGTTATATTAACGTAGGTTAAGGTAACAACTAGCTAAAATTTTGGCAAATTATATTATTTACCATAAAATTAAATATATTGGAAAAGAAAAAATAAGCCAAAGAAGAAATAATTAAAAAATAATAAAAATTAAAAAAAAAAGTTTCCCATACCGGGAATCGAACCCGGGCCTTCTGGGTGAAAGCCAGATATCCTAGCCACTAGACCATATGGGATATATTAAGCCGATGGCAGAATGTGTGTTATAACAGCTGATAGCAGCAAAACACTTTTGTGCTCAATTAGTTTCATAATTCTCTTTGTTAGGTTTCTCTTTCAAACACAAATTACTCTTTTTATGGCGTTGTTAAGAGCATAGTTGGGCAGACGTGCACACCAGCGTTGATGCGTTCTCTTAACATTTTTTGATGTTAAAACAAAAATAAACATTAATGAAATTTTTTCCGAAACTTTTTTAATGAGTTTATTTTTTAACTTCCTTGGATATTATTTATGCTTTAAAAATAATAAATTTAATAAATTCCGAAGAATAGTTCATGTTTTTATTTTCCCTTAAACATTTTTTAAGAGAAATTTTGCCCACCATTGGTTAAGAGTTTGGTAAAAAATAAAAAAAAATCGTGTGTGTGTGTGCTCACAGCAAACATAGGCTGATAATATGATATTATTATTATTATTTCTCTTAAAAAATGTTTAAGGGAAAATAAAAACATGAATTATTCTTCGGAATTTATTAAATTTAATATTTTTAAAGCATAAATAATATCCAATGAAGTTAAAAAAAAAAAACATTAAACAAATTTCGGAAAAAAATTTCATTAATGTTTATTTTTGTTTTAACATCAAAACATGTTAAGAGAACGCATCGACGCTGGTGTGCACGTCTGCCCAACTATGATATCAGACTATGGTTGCTGTGAGCACAGCCTGATATCGACCAAATTTGAAATAAATAAAAATTTTAGTTACTAAATATTTGGCGATTATTTTTTTTAAAGAAACTGATTTTTATGAAAATGGTGTAACGTCCGGCCGAAGCCTTGACTTTTTATACCCTTCACCACTCTGTGGTACAGGGTATTATGTCTTTGTGCATATGTTTGTAACAGTCAAAAGGAAACGAGATAGGCACATGGTTCCTATTGAGAATATGCATAGAATCACTTTTGAAGACGATCTATGCATGTCCGTCCGTCTGTCTGTCGGTCTGTCCATGTTAAATTGTGAACAAAGTACAGGTCGCATTTATCATCCGAATTGGATGAAATTTGGCACAGCTTATTGCTTTGGCCCAAGGACGAACCCTATTGAAATTGGGAAAATCGGTTCAGATTTAGATATAGATTCCATATGTATTTTCGTCCGATTTAATGTACACGGTGTACCAATGTCCCTATATATCTTTCGGTTTGCAGGAAAATTGGCACAGCGTACTGAATTAGGTCTAGAATGATGTGTGTTAAGTTTCCTGAAAATCGGTCCAGATTTATATATAGCTCAAATATATATTTTCGTCCGATCTAAGGTAAACGGTGTACCAAAGTCCCTATATATCATTCGATTTTCACGAAATTTGGCACAGCGTAATAAATTAGGTGATGTGTGTTATGTTTCCTGAAAATCGGTTCAGATTTAGATATATATCCTATATATTTTTTCTTCCGATTTTATGTAGGTTGCAGAATGACATGTTTAGGATCCAATTTCATTGTACTGGGCTTTCAATAATTCGACGTCTGTTAGGATTCATCTGTTGAATATACCCAAAGTGGTAAAGGGTATCATATAGACGGTCCCGTCCGACTTTACTACTTTCCTTACTGGTTTATTATGGAAATATTTTGAAATTAATTGCCCAAAATCTATCAGAGACCTCTGTCTCTTAAAAAGGACAGTAATATACCAAATATTCGGTACGTCAACTAAATTGTAATGGACCATTTTTATAGAAAAATCAATAGGAAAATGTGGCTAAATTCTAAAATCGAAATTTTCTGAAAATTCTATCAAAATATTCCGCCCATTTCCGGTATTTTCAAGGCCCTAGACACTGAAATTTGGCATTTCAGTTTCTCAAAAGTGTTTGCGGACAATTATAGGAATTTTGAAGGATATAGATTAATTTGTCAACCCAAAGTGCTGAAATTCGAAATTTCTGATTCCCAGAGCAATTTTAAATTTTCCCTCTGAATCGAATTTTTTTGTGAGAATATCCCTATCCGTTTTTATAACCTTCACCACACTGTGCTGCATATGTTTGAAACAGGCAAAACGAATCGAGATAGATTCGATTGAAACCTGAATTAGGTCTTGATTGATGTGTGCAAAATTTTGTTGGAATCGGTTTAGATTTAGATATATCTTCCATATATAGTTTCGTCCGATTTTATGTAAATGAAACACCATACTGCCAATTATTTGTTCGATCAGACAATATTTAGCATTTGGTATTGAAATTACTATAGGTTAACGCCCGATTTGTTTTGTTGAAATCGGTTCAGATTTAGATGTAGCTCCCATATATGGAATTTAGTCCAGAATAGTGTACCAAATAACATAAGTTGGATAGCACACATAGTCGACCCGTCCGACTTTTGATCTTCCCTCCCTGTTTTTTTTTTTTTTTGAAGTTTATACCCCGGACATCACGAAGTTGTATAGAGAGAATGGCCAGCAGTATTGCTCCGGAAAAGCATAATTCAGAAAAGATCGCGAAATATTGCCTGACTCGGAATAAAGAACCGCAGAAATTTAGAATTCAGTGGTAGTTATCCGCAGAAGTCGGCCCATTCCGACCATACTGCTGGTTAAGGATATAGACTCATTTTTCAGCCGAAGATAATGTAATTGCCTTGTCGGAAATTTTAAATTTTCCAAACCAAACTTTAAAACAAAATTTTCTATGAGCACATTTCGTCGAATTTCTGGTATTTTTAGGGACGTAGATACGGACAATTGATATATCGGTTTCTCAAAAATAAAGGTTCCCAATCGATTTAGGTGTTTTGAAGGATATAGTTTAATTTTTTAACCGAAGGCTGTAATTCAGAATTTAAAATTCCAAAAGTTAACAAACCTCCTTGCATGCAATTTTGAATTTTCCAAATCTAACTCCAAAATCGAATTTTATGTGAATATCCCGGCTCATTTTCGATACTTTCTATATGGTTCCCAATTTTTAACTGAATAGGCAGTAATTCGCAATTTCAAATTCCCAGAGTTTAACAGACCCCCTCTTCCTTGTCCGGCATATTCAAGGTCCTGACCGCTTTTCTCGAACTAAGACACTGACATTTGGTATTTTGGTGTATCAAAAGATCCTCATAAAAAATCAAATGTTCTGCCTAAAATCCCGATATAAAGTTCCCTATCGATTTTAGGTACTTTGAAGGATGTCAAACCGGACGGGATATTTAGTAACTAAACATTTGGCTGTTTTTGTGAATATTTTGTAAACGGATACATGAAGACGTTGACCGTTTAAATTAATATAAAATTTGTGTAGTGCTATATTGAAGATTTTAAGTCAGAGATATTTGCCTCTTAAGAAGGTACAGTAACAAACATCCGGTTGAATTGAAATTTTTATCAAATGCAAAGCTCTTTATGCTCCAAAAACTCCAAAAACCCGGATTGGCCAATTATAGCCACATCGTGAGAACATTACAGCTCATTCTGTTGGAAAATGCGGAAAAAGGGCCGGACCATTGAAAATTGTTTGCAAATATCTATTTCACCCTCGAAGAACCCAGAATATCAGATGCAGGAAGTGTGGTACCTTGAAGGGGCCCTGTCAATTTTAAGGGCCCTATCAAGACATTGGCCTATATTGACATTGCAAAGCTACAGTCACTTCGATTTGAAAATACGTCCAAAATCTTAAAAATGCCGATAACACGTGGCTACACAAATATAATTGTTGAGAAGCCTCTCCAACTTTACACCAAACCTTTGGTGCGGATTATACGCCGATAATCCTTACTTTACTATTTCAAAAATGAGTTTACATCAACAATTAGAGTAAATAGATTACCCTATTGGATATAGTCCTGTAATAGTGATCGTGATGTCCAATTTTTATTTTCGATCATTTACCTCCAAATGACATTCTTATTTGAATGGTGACAAAAAAAACAACTCTTATTGGAATAACCCCCGGTAAAATTTATTCAGTTCTTCTTGTACAAAATGATTGTCCATTTCCGAAACTTTACTCTCATCATCATAGCTAATTCCGTTTATTCATCTATGATTTCACTTTATATACCAAAAGTTCAAACTTTTCCACACACATCATTTTCATTTAATTGATTTAATGATTTGTTTATGAAATATTTAATTTGTCGATGTAACACCATCGATTGATAGCCACCCTGACTGTCTGTCTAGGCCCAACGAAAGTGAAACCACAAATATTTTAAATGAATGAATATTTTCGAATGAAGTAACAAATCCATTAAAAGTACATTCATTCTAACCAGCAGAAATGTATGCGGAATGTATGTATGTAACTATGTACATACATATCGAGTGAAATGTAGCGAAATAATTTCAATTTATTTATTAACAAACAGTAATTGAACGTGAAACCAATTGAAAACATACCAAAATTTTATACAAAAATTCGAAACAACATTTTTATTATAAATAAAGGGACTTAATCGAAAAAACACGTTTAAAGATTGAGAAGCACATTTTCCAATCGACTA